TACATTTTACTGTTCATTTGATAAAATACAAATTAACCACAACCTAACTCCAATATCTTACAAAAAGCCTAGCTCCAATGCCCAGTTAATTTGTTTGTTTCTTTCTTTTTTTTTAAAGAATTAACTAATGGATCCAAATAAATTCATAATGTGATGTGGTACATTTGTCTTAATCACTCAGTATATTTCTTTAATAAAAAATTTCTTTTTTTGGAAAGGTGGCTTCATTTTATTTACAATCGTCTTGAAGCCAAGTATTTTTAGATTTTCCTCTTTTTCAGTTGCCTTGAGGGTTCCAATTAAAAACTTGCTTCACTTTAAATGTTTCAGGTTTACGTAAAACATGACCAATCTATTTCCATTTACGTTTCTTAATTTCCAGATCAATCGTTTTCTGTTTTGCTTTTCAAAGGATTTCTGCATTACAAATTTTATGGAACCACTTGATACGCTAAATTCTTCTTAAATAGTTGTTTATAAATACCAAAAGTTTTTCATGTTATTTTTATTACAGTGAATAATTTTGTAATAGTGGTATTAAATTAACGTTGTACGAATTTACATTTTTTCAATTCATTTTATTGTTAAGTGATTGTTAAGTTATGAAGAGATTCCTGAAAGGTTACATTTGTTTGGTTACACAACCTGAAAGGTTACACAGCGATCAGACCTTGATGCCCAGGACTTTGCCTGGTAATGATTATCAAGGTTCCCACGGGCCTTGTAAGTTTTAAAAAATGGTAACGAAAATTAAACAAAGGTCGATAATTTAATTTTTGCGCAACCACCACTAAAAATTGTTTTCCAAAAAAAAATATGCATGCATGAAAATTCCAGCTTCTAAACCACTTAAAGACAAAGTGGTAAAATAAAGTAAGAAATGCTTAATTTTTTAAAAATTAAGAAAAATAAAAGTTAAAACTCCTTTCTTAAACATTAAATGCAGTTTTTTTTTGCTGTATTCATTTTCTTAAACACCCATTTTGAACTGTGTTCATTTTTTTAAAGCGCATTTTGAATTGTGCCCATTTTCTTAAACACACATTTTGAACTGTCTCCATTTTCATATACATGCATTTTAAACTGTGTCCATTTTCTTAAATACTCATTTTAAACTATGTTTATATCCTTAACCACACATTTTGAACTGTTTCCATTTTCTTAAACACTCATTTTAAACTGAGTCTATTTTCTTAAACACGCATTTTAAACTGTGTTCATTTTCTTAAACGTGAATTTTGAACTATATCCATTTTCTTAAACACTCATTTTAAACTTTGTTTATTTTCTTAACCACGCATTTTAAACTATGTACATTTTCTTAAACACGCATTTGGAACTGTGTCCATTTTTTTATAACACGCATTTGGAACTGTGTCCAAAATAAAAAGCTTACCGAAGAGATAATATCAGAGATATGTCCTTTGTTTAATTTTTTAAAAAATTTAATCCATTTCACGTTTTTAAATAAATATTTTGTTATTCGTTATATCAGGTCAGTTCATGGTGCAAAATGAGGGCTACGTCACTGAATTAGTTCATATAAAGTTAAATGTAACCGTGTGCTTATTTTGTTAACAATTTAGACGTGTTTCGATGAGACAGAATAATTTAAAATCAACAGTAATTGAAAAAAATTGAGTTATGTACTGAAGAACAAAACTAATTTGCTACATTTTGATAAATTTTCGATATCATGAGTTTGCCGCTTCATTTTAGGTGCGAATGGTACTGAGTATAGTTAGCTTATTTTTGATGAGTTGTACTTTTACAACTTTTGTTTATCAACGGAAAGGGCAACAAATTGTAATAAAAATTGTAGGAATTATTTTAACTTTATTAATAGTGTCGAAAATGTCTTTCAATATTTTGAATGATTTCGTAGTACAGTACTTTAAGAAGAAGAAAAAAAAGCGGACCATCCTGAATAACTTTTGATCTAATAATCATATCTTCACGTTCAAAGACTCCATCTTAATGGTTCGAAGGGCTGATCTAAAATATGCTAATTGTTTAATGCAGACGACATTATAAGTTATGAAATCAGACATGGTAATTTCATGCAAAAAAATAAATTTCAGTAAATATATATTATTTTTTATTATTTTATTTAATTGCAATCGTAAGACTTCTGAATTGTATGGTATTTAATTTTTATATAACATAGGTGTATAAAGTTAACATGGCAAAATACAAAGTTTGAGAGAAATCGTTTGAATAGTTTCTGAGAAATCAAATTTTAAATCTACGACTTTTTTAAAAAAAGTTCAGTGAAAATTCAGTCGAAAATGCCAATGGTTTGTTCAGAAATAACATTTGCGAAATGAATTTTTTATATTAGGTTTACATTACGCATTATTAAAAGATGACAATGTTTTTTCGATTGCTTTAAGGATGGCATTCGTGATGTTTTCTAGCTTACAGCTCTTTTTAATCAAAAGTGAGTATTGATTGAATGAACATTATTCAATCGTTATTTTTCTTTGATCGATGATGTTAAGTGAGTATAGGTAAACGCAACGTACGCTTGCGTAGCTGAATAAATGTTTCGAAAATTTTCTATAACTACGCGCTTATCCGTGTACATATTTCTCTAATGTGACACCATAAAAAAATCGGGTATTTCTCTATCTATTGGCAACATATTCCTTTTGTTAGATTGTCTTAAGTAATATTTTAAGTAGTGTTAAAGAATATGTTATTCGTTTAATATTCATTTAGATTAATTTTTTTGAATTTTTATAAAAATAAAAACTTTGTTATGAAGTAATTATTTAGATTTAATTTTTATCCTTTCTAAAATGTCTGTAAGAAATATTAAAAATAAACGGTGCTATGGTGTCGCATAGTTATGGAGTCATACCAGTTATTGAATGGCGAAGCTTTCCTATTTCCATCAATGGCATACATATGTACATACTCAAGTTATCGCTTGAGTGCTTAAGATAGCAGCACAACACGTAACAGAGCATTGGAATAAGTTGGATATCTTATCCCACGACAGAGATAGAAATAATTTTAATACTTCTGCTGCCTACTATGCTGAAATGTCACGTACTCATACTTTGGCTTTGTTTACATTACATTTTTGAAAATGTTCTTCGATAAATATAATTGCGTAAACTGCTATAATAATTAAAAAATATAAGTTATGCCACATAATACTATTTTATTGGGAAGATGGCTTTAGGCCGTAATAGCCTGGTGGGTAGCGCGTTTGGACCATGTCCAAGAGGTCGCGAGTTCGATTCCCTCGGGTCAAAGACTCCGCGTGTAGTGAATAATAAATTAAACCTCTGGGGGTACTGAATTGGAAATTGTTTCTTTCGTTCAGATCAAAATTGTGATCTGTGAATGAATGAATGGTTCCGCCGTATAAACGAGATGTGACCATAGATAGCGCCACTGAAAAACAAGAAATGTACCCTCTATATTAAATTTGCTTAGTTTCGCCAAGCAGGCTTGCTGATGTTGACGAGTGTCATTAGAAATAACAGCAGATTGCTTGGTTATTGTTAATCTTGAATAAAGTGAATTGGTCGTGAGCAATCGCATGATTTTTAGTATCGAAGGAAACTGAGTATAGTTATCCTTACTTTTTCTTATGAGATAAAGCTATTTTAATAATCATAATAAAAAGAAAAACATCGGGAAAGATCTCAAATAATAATTAATTTAAAAGATTTTGATTTTGTATTTGTTTTGGATTATGTTTTCAAGTTTCGCTCAAAATTGTACAGTGTGATTTAATAGAGGTTTGTAAAATATAAGTTTACATTGTAAAACCACTGGTTACACGCAACAAATAATTTAAAAAAATTATAAATATAAATTTTTAATTGTTTCAGGTTATGCTTTTTATAAGCATTGTTATTTTTAATTCCTTTTACCCGCACGATGTACAAGTATTCCGCTAGTATGAAAATTATTACGGAAAACATCACTGATTAGGAAAAGTTTGGAATGATTTGTAACGTTAACATAGTCAACTTGAAAAGTTATTTGTGGATTTATATAGATATTACTTCACACGACAAAACCAAACGATAACAAAATAGTCTCTTTTGATGTAAAATCATATATTTTGTAAATAAAATGAATAATCGAATGCATATAACTGAAAGAGATGTCCGCGATCATCCATCACTCTGAATAGTTGGAATTCTAATTCCAGGATTGAATTTCTTCATCTGAAATCATTCAACACTGTTCTTCATTTACCAAACATGATTTCTGGGAATCATTCCATGCTTTAAAAAATTCTAACAATTAAGTTAGTGGACTTTCTAGTATCTCATCGTTTCCCGATATTTGGAAATCTATTCTAAATTAATCTACTGCCCCTTGGGGTTAACGCCAAACCTCCTCATACCTGTTTCATAGCTACCTTCTTTTATTATCTTGTTCTTCGATCCCTATTAGCGATACCACTTGGACTTGTTTGTCTCTTTACATCTTTACTATCATTTGGTGCTTCAACGCTGGTGTTATAGAATTTAAACTATAGCATGTCAACTTCTGTACTTTCGTTTGTGCTTTATTCGCGTCACTTTGTGTTTTAGTCTACACATCGTATAGTGATCTTTTTGGATTCAATTAATACAGTATGAGGATTTGAAAATACTTCAATGCATTTGTATACAGTTATTAATATCTAACCTTTTTAAAGAATATCAGTTTAGTGTCCATATACATATGGAAAATTGGACACAAATCATATGATGCCTTTAAATATTGCTATTTTTTGTTGATAATATGCAAAGTGATGTATTTAAATGAAGCAATATGTCTTGACAATGATTTTAATATATTGTACAAATAGTGGCAAATTGATAATAATATTAGAGAGAATGATGAGAAGATTTTAAATTATTCCATTACAATCTTTGTAAACTTATGCAATAGTTATTAGATATACTTACTTGACTGCTTAAAAATATTATTTAATTTGCATCGTGTTCATAATTTGTTACAGTGAATGATGAATTTTTATTTCTTAGACGCCGGAGAAGGAACCACAGTTTGCTCATATGGATGCTAGCAGTCATATTGGAAACAACCAGACATGGCGTGCATGGTGGCCATCATCGCAATAATGGTGCAATAGAGAAACTTCTGACAGCGGGCCTCATTGCCAAAGCACTTGCCAAAGGCGGAGAAGAAGGAGGAGGAGGTGGTGGCCATCATTTTGTGCCTGTCCATATACCAGTCCATCATCATGGACATCACCATCATGGTCACCATCACGCATCAGCAAGCAATAATCATCATCATCACGTTCATCATAAATATGTTCCAATACCGTAAGTTAATCAAGAGAGGTTATGTATACTTTTTTTTTCCTTTTTTATGAGACTCGAAACTCATGATAGTCAATCTTAATTAGCAACAAATACTCTTTCGCATTATAATAATAATTACCTTTTCGTATGTTATTTATTAGCATTTATTTTATTTGTATGATTGTTTTCTCATATTTTATAACTAAATAAGTAAATAATATAATACTTACAACAGTTTAATGAACCATTTGGCGCAGAATTTTAATTAAACAAATTTTTAATACTTTTTTCCATTATTTTATATTAATTTAAGTTAAAATAAGTGAAAAATGTTTTATTTAGAATTTTTTAATTTATGGTTAGGAAATACAATAGGAAACACTGGTGCCTTTTTCTCCAGCAAAAGTAAAATCATCAAAATGCGGCTTATTTCCAAATAATATTTTTTTAAATCTACACGTATTTGCAGTTACTTAGATCTAAGAGAAACAGTTATTAATATATACATTCACAGAAACATTGAAATTTCTTTAATTTACTAAATCCTTTATTGATGTTTTGAATATGAATAAAAAAAATAACTTTTTTTTTCTAACTATTTTTCCTGGATTTTATATTTTAGCACAAACTCAATTTCGATTATCTAACAGATATTTTTAGAAACTCTTAGACTGTTTTTTTATAATTAAAAAATACCAAAATATATTTTTGTTTGTAATTAGAGCACCAGAAAAAAAAATATATAAAAAGAACACCATAACAAGGTCCCATCTGCATCAAAGGGTTAACTGTTTTTATTTCATATATCGGTCTTATCTAAGAAAAAGAAAGGGTGTGATTATACTGAAGCGTGCGATTACAATTAATAAAATATTACGTATTTGCTTATTATTTACAAATAAAATTCTGTTTTTTAGGGTAAAACACCACACTAATTTTATCATAGCACATCATAAAGTACCAGTTCACGTACATGTGCCAGTTCCAGTGGTCAAAACCAAGGTGGTACACGTGCCAGTAGAGAAAACCAAAATTGTACCGATCATTGTCAATAAGGACCATGACAGCCACCACCACCACCACAGCCAACCCAGCTATCCTTACATGGCACATGCTGATACAGTTCTACGCCCAAAGAAGTACAAGCCTTCATTATCTCAACCTCACATAGCCTTAGCAACAAACTCAAAGAATAAGCAAGTTAGAATTACAAGTCTTGGAAAAGTTAAACAAGTTAAAGACCCTTCCTCGAATGGAACTTCTTTGAAAGTAAGTCATACCTTTTTATTTCATTACATTTGCCTACATTAATAAAACCCAGTTTACAGTTGGTGACTTTTACAGTTGGACCCCAATTTGTTGAATTCGTCCGGGTTGAAAAATTTATTAGTTTCGTCGAAGTTATTTGTAAACTGCATTTATCTTTTATCTTATGACACATAAATATCTGCAACTAGAAATTACAGACATTTTATTCAGTCACAATAGATATAGCGAATGTTGAATGCACTTTCGCTACGGTAAATTAGTCTTTTTGAAAGCATACTTCAATTATATTTTTTCGAAGTACGATTCCAAAATTGTCTCACCAAAATATTAAGCATCTAAAAAGCTTGTTTCGTATATTTTCTCCTCAGTTTTGTATATTCTGTGTAATTTGGTTTGTATATTTCCTTCTAATTTCAGTTAAAAAGTTATAATGCTGTTAATTAAATTCTAGGGTTAAAAAATTGACGTAGTTTTCCTTAAAATTTCCGAAAAATATTGGGTCGCTTTCCGTGAGGTGCTTAAAACAACATAGCTTGTGGTATTCTTAGGGCACTGAAAAAAAACACTAGGGGGCTATACACTTCTCACAATGATTGCAAATATCCGGAACCAACAACCCGGAAGCCAACATCCTGAAACAACCAATAAACCCATTCGAAGAAAGTGAAATCCGAATAGACGCTTAAAATTTAACACGGTGAATCGAACTTCGCTGCTTGGCGAAGACTCTGCTCACCTTAGAAATAAATTAGAATTCATTGGAATATCTGAAGAAAAGTCTTTACTCCATATTTAAAGTCTGAAAATGTAATTTTTGCCAAACTTTATGCAGCATGTCCATATTTCGAATGGCGATAGTAGTTGTGATACGGGCTTTCAACTCAGTTGTGGTCGTTAACCTGGAGGCATCTGAACGCGATCTTTTACCAACCCGAACCGAAATATATCACATAGGTAAGGTTTGGAGAACGTGGTGACCAAGACAAGAGTGTAGTAATAACGGTAGAGACATGTTATTGAAAGCGTTGTTTTTTCCCCCGTTTTATTTTCGAATGACGATTGAATATTCAGCGCCATCTACTGGAGACTATTCAAAACTTGCTAATAATACCTCTGCATTATACATTTTCAATGAATGCATATATTTAACGCTGCGTAGAACACTGAATTGGGGCATTCATTTTGACGTACCTGCATGTCATCATATTTAACTGCTGTTTCGCTTTAAAATGAATACTTTTCCATAATATTTGACTCTTGAATGAAATATTCTATGAATTAAAGAATATTCTGTAAAAAAATAAGGTTCATGCTTCTCTTTTCTTTCTGCTTTTAGTTTCAACATTCATCTGGATCTCCCGATAAGTGGATTGTAGTGGTAAAAACTAAAAAGCGATCATCGATACGTAGATCTGGAGACATGGCAAAAAGGAGTGACACGACTCTGCCCATGACAACCTCTACGACAACCTCTCTGAAGCCAAAGATTAGGGCAAGATGATTTTTATCCACAAAATTTCGTATGAACATTTATTCCACTATCCGTTGAGCGGAATTGGGGGACATCATCATCATCATCATCATCTTAAATGTTTGTGGTTAATGAACATTCTAAAAACATTCGGTTTCAAGCGAAATATATTATTAGGGTAATGGATGATTCAAGCCAATATTGAATGTTGTGAAATTTATTGATAAAATCTACGAACGTATAGATTATAGAGAAGAGAAGAAAAAAATTTTTACATTTTATTTCAATCAGTATATTGAATATATAAATTGAATAATGAAATTTCCGATGCTTTTCAATAATAGAATAAATCACAGCTGAACTTTTTACCTCTAACCCTCATAGATGAAGTTAAGCCTGATGACTTTCCCTGTTTTTTTTAAAACACTAGTTTTGTTTTCTTTTCAATTTTTAAACACTGGCAACTGCTGCCAAAGATAAATGCAACCTTAAATTAACAATGGGGTTTAAAATGCCATCAACATAAATTGTACAAAATTAAAAGGGAAAAAATTGCATAACTTATAACTGTTTTACAAGCTAATATCGCAAACTTTTTAATTGAAATAATAAAAAGTTTTAAAATGTAAAGTAACTCATAAAAATAACAATTTTATTATTATTTTTCCACTTTTTTATTTTTTTTTATTATTTTACGAAAATTTTCTTACAAAAACATTTTTAAAACAAATGTTGTTCAAAGATTTATTTTAAAAATTAAGCAAGTAAATTATTTATTTGCAGTGAAAATGCATAAAATTAATTTTCTCCAGAGAAATTTAAAAATCCGTTTTTTTCCTCTTTTTCAGAGAAAAAAATGGCTTATAGGTCCTAAAAATTTATAATTCGAAAGTATTAAACTTATTCTTTCAAATATTGTATGTAAATTACTTTATCTTTTAATTTTTAAAGAGATTTGAAAGCGGTAAATAAATTATTAGTAATTGCTAAAAAAAATCCTCTGCTGCTAGAAAAAAAAATTTTATAACAAATTATCCATCCTCCGTTAAAGGTTGTGTATTTATAACTTAGGTGGTAAAATTGTTCTTCTTATCAGCTTTTAAACAATTGCACTACTTGTACCATTTGGAATGACTTTTTAGTAAGAAAAAGTTTTTTGATCTTCCTCGTGTATCAAACCTTAATCCAGAAAATATGATTTTTTGTTCTTAATATGTTTCTTGTTTCTTATTTGTTTGTATACGTATTTTATTTTACATATGTAATTGTTGTATGATAGCTTGTTTTTAATAAATGAACTGAAATCTATTCGTTATGTTTCTAAGGTGAAGAATTTCATAAACATTTTTCAAAAATGGAAAATGAGTTCATTTCTGTAGTCATTTCTCACTGTCACTTAATTTTTTTATTGGAATTTTAGAAATTTCCGAATGTAGGAAGAGCTTTGTGCTGAAATGGTCGAATGGACATTTTGGAAAATTTAAAAACATCAGTTTTAGAAAATGCAGCAGATTTACGAAAATTCTTTAATTGTTTTATTTGATGACCTGTTAAGGTCTACACTGTTAGAAATTTCTCGGAAAAGTTGGTAAAATAACTATTTATTTGATTGCTATTTTACCATATTCAAACAAGACAGTCAAATAACTATAAATAAGATGTTATTCAAACTGTTAACAGTGGGAAAAACTGATTATTAACTGATTTCACCTAATACGATAAAACAATTATGATGTCATTGCACCCACTAGGCCCATCTAAAAAAGCCTCTTGGGTACATGCAACTGGATACATATTATGGCAGAGAGGGCAAATCAGTCAATTTCATGAACGGCGGTTCAAGTCCTAACTTTGACACCACAATTTTTCCTCCATTTCCTTCCACACACGAATAGTTTCCACTGTCATATACTCCCCCGTTTGAAACTATTAGAATACGATACTTTTATTCTCGCTAAGATGGATATAAAGTTAGTTAATACAAAAGTTTAATGTTTCCCATCTCTTACGATGGATGAAGCAACCAGATAAACTAATTAAACTCCATTCCACAATTCATTTGATAAAACACAACTCTACCACAACCCAACGAAACGCCTAGCTCCAATGTACAGTTAAATTTTATTTTTACAGTTTTGAAACCATGCTAGCTGTAAATGGTTAAAAAAAATCGCATGACTTTTTTCGTGGTTTTTGAAGCATACTAGTAGTAAATGGTTTCAAAACAGTAAAGGTAAAAAAAAATTTTTTTGCTGTGAACTTTGAGGTTAAGTTGATGGACAGACTGCTGCCGGTTATTTTAAAGTAAATTAAAATTAAAATTCTGACAGTTTACATATATCTGTTTGGATCCATATATAGCTGAATATAATGTTAACTTTCTACAGTGAAAAAAACGCATTGGAAAATAACTTTCTTGCAATATTTTCCTTTCGGAATTAATTGAAATAAATATATTTTTTTAATAAGTAGGATTTTTAAAATTAGTATATGTATGAAAAACTTAACGAAAGATCCTACATGACATTTTTGGGAATTTAAAGACATTAGCTTTCAAGATATTACATTATTTAATGACCTGTTAATTCGCATGCATACAGCTAAACATTTCAATATGTTTTCGAAGTCAGAAAAATTCATATCTCTTTTTTTTTATCAAAAATTGGAAATGGATGAATTTGTTTCATTTCACCGTCACTTAAAAGAAATTTTTAACTATAAATTTTAGGATTTAAAAGAAAAGAGTATCTGCATGAAGAGCTTAGTGGAAGAAGTTTCTAAGTGATATAGTTTAAAGCTCAGATACATCACTTTTAGAAAATCCAAGAGGTTTACAAAACACATTTCAATATTTTAAGGCGTCTTATTTAATGGCCTATTAATTTCTATACTTATAACTAAAACACAACATTTCTTTTTTTTTGTGGTGAGAAAATTCCTACAAATTTTTCAAAATTGGAAATGAATTCTTTATGATAAATAACCTTTCACTGTCACTTGAGAACAAAAATTTAATATCTATAGGGTTTTTATAGAAAGACTATCTGGATTGCTGTTGTTGTTTCCAATGTCACTTGCCAGTACCAGCAAGCCTGCTTGATGAAACCAAGCGAATTTAAGACAGAGGGTGAGTTTCTTGTTTTTCAGTGGTGCCATCTATGACCAAGAACACGACTTCAGCTACACAGACTTCACAGCCCGTTTACAGGGCGGACCCATTCATTCATCCACAGATCGTTATTTTGACCTGAATCAGAGAACGATCAATCTCCAATTCAACACCCCCAGAGAAATTATACTATCTGGGTTAAGAGCTTAATAAATGAAGGGGCTAAGTGATATAATCAAAAATTCGGATGCATCATTTTCAGAAACTAAAACAGACTTAAACACATTTTTCAAAAATTTTCTTACTTAATGCTCTGTTCAGCAGAAATTTGGAATTTACGATGTTTTCAAACGTCATTTTGTACACTATTCCATTAAAACTGTTCAAACCAAATCTTGATTAAAATGATCAAGCTATTTAGTTTTTTCCTATTACTGTTACCGTTTCTTAACTTACTTAACTCTAGTCACCCTAATTGTCCGAAATTTTCTACACTTCTTTATCTAGTTTTTCCAGCACTTAATCTTTGCTCTGTCTCCACTCGCTTGTTGTTAACGGTTCATTTAATAATTTTATAGTTAATTCAGTTCTTTGTAAATTTATTAAACCCAAATATCATTTTTCTTCAAATTCTTATACTGTAAAAAAAATAATATATTTCAATGGCAAAAAAAATTATAGCCAACTTCTTTGCAATGAAACACAATACATGACTCTTAAATCTAAATATTTCACTATACCAGGAATGTCCTTTCACACTACTTGTAAAATAAACGACTTAACATAAAATTAGCCTGTTAACCAAACATACTGCTCAGAGAGAATATTAATATTAATTCAAATAAAGCTTAACAAATATGATGTGGATAAAAATTAAATTTAACAAAATTATTTAATGCAATTAGCAGATTTATTTAATTTTTCTAAGGAGAGCATAGTTATCTTTATTATAAAACTAAAAACATACATGCCTTTTTATAACAGTTCACTTCTTTTCTGCGGAATGTTCAGAATAGTGCTAGGTGAATCGAAAATTTCACCATCTCTATGAATCGAGAAAATGCAACTGAGCTTGGTGCGAACGATCGCAATCATTGGCGTTTATATTTAACTATACCCTTAAAGAGTGTTTGAAGACTCGATTCGGAACTAACTTGAAATAAAGTATTCACTTGCACAATTTTTGGAACTTTCAACACAAAATTTGGATAAATATCACAACGCATTTTTTTAACTCACTGACTGAACTTATTACTATACCGTTTTTCTTCGCCTTTTTTTTTGAAAAAAAAACTGAAAATGCTGTCACATTTTGATTTACGAGTTATTTCCTGGTCTCATTGCGTGGTCATCCTTTCCATGTATCGCAAATGCGGGATAGTTCCATCAAAAAGTCCTCCACGAATACAATTTTCTCCCAATACTTGATCCAGAAGTTCCCTTGTCTTCTGGATTGAGTTCAAAATTACAAGGTTACGGAGATGAACATTGGTACTCGTAAAGTCAGAATTTAGTCGACTGTTCAACGACAATTATAAAATGAACTATTGCGAGTCGCGGTATCTTAGGGTACAGAACATTCGCCTCGATCCCGATGAGGTGACACAGGCTCGAATCCCAGCTGTGGCTGGTTGATACGAATTCTGCTCCTGCTAGCACCGACAACAGTCCTGAAGTAAAATATCCTCAGTGGTAGACAGATCATGGGGTAGAATCCCCTAACCATCGGGTTAACCATGGGGAGTTTTTGTGGTTTTCCTGTCCCTGAAACGTAAAAGCGTGTTAGTTCCTTAAAAATTTCTTCACAAAGGTTAATTAGCCCGAATACTCGATATAGGTGATATCTTTTCTTCTGCGTTAAATTCAAAATTAGAAGGCTACGAGGATACTGATAGTCGTATATTCAAAAATCGTTTCGGCTTTTCAACGACGGTTATAAAATAAAATATTTTATTGCCGCACATTGGTGTAACCTTTGGCAATCTAAAATCTTGTTTCGTAATTCTAAATGCCCTTTCCTTAGTTAATGACTTAAGTTCCCTCAGCAGGATTTGGAAAAACCTCCTGTTCTGATTTGTCTCTCTCGGTTACCACATTTTTTAAATTTTGTTTACCCCCTGTATCATATTTTTCATTGGCAACTTAGCATTTTCTTATGATTTTTGAAACACGTGAAGCTTTTAGATTATCAATTATATCTGTACGCTTCAGTTTCTCGAAATGATTCATTTTAATGCCCAGTATTCATTTCAATACACACAATTCCACTACACATAATAGTATCTTCGCTTATAATTTAATGAGAAAGTTGTGTTTTAAAGGAAAATTTCGGTATACTTGTCCGAATACGAAAGGCTCAGTCCATTAAAGAATTAAACCAATTTAGACATTTTATCATAAAAATAAGAGCTCGATGAAAGTTTGTGAAAATATTTTAAGTTCCTCTGGTATTATAACTGTTACACTCACATTTCATCAAAAAGAAGAAGAAAAA